GTGGCTAACGGGATTCCCAGGGGGGGGGTTTGTATTAATTACTCGAGGAGGTGGGCACTGTGGGGCTCATGGGGGTGGGGGGGTACATGAGGTGCTTGGGGGGCACAGGGTGTTCAGTGGGGCTCTGAGGGGGGGGGGGGCTAAGTGCCCAAAGGTTGAGAGGGAGGCACAGAGTGACTCAGGAGGGGGGGGAGGGGGTGTCAGTAAGTTACTTGTGGGCTGACCGTGTGCGTGGGGCCACGCAGGGCGGGAGAACTGTGCTTCCCCCCCCCCCCAGGATGCTGTCGCAGGGCAGGCGGCTGCTGCAGCCGCTGTTCAGGGGCCGCCTGCTGCTGCTGACCAACACTGTGAGCTGCGGCACGCTGCTGGCGGCCGGCGATGCCCTGCAGCAGTTCTGGCAGCTCCGCCGTGAGCCCCAGGCCCAGCATCAGCTCGCACGCACAGGTGGGTGGCAGCGATCCCTGCCCGAGTCGCCGTCTCTGGTTACGGGGCCGCATCAATAATGCAGCGGGTGTCGCCTTGCAGGACGCATGTTTGCCGTGGGCTGTAGCATGGGTCCGGTATTGCATTTCTGGTACCTGTGGTTGGACAACGCCTTCCCGGCACGGGGGATGAGGACGGTGCTGAAGAAAGTGCTCATCGACCAGGTGGTGGTGTCACCCATCCTGGGAGTGTGGTATTTCCTGAGTGAGTTCTGCGTGGCAGACGCCTGGCACAGGGCTGACACCCAACCTCAGCCACCCCACTGACACCATCTGCCCCGCAGGCATGGGCACACTGGAGGGCCACAGCCTGGAGGAGAGCTGGCAGGAGCTGAAGGAGAAGTTCTGGGAGTTCTACAAGGTAAGCACACCCCTCTGCTCGTCTCTGTGGCCCTGTGGATGCCCGGCCCGGCAGCCAGCACCCCCAGCTGCCTCCATCCCCTCCTACAGTACGACTGGTGCGTGTGGCCAGCGGCGCAGTTCTTCAATTTCCAATTTGTGCCCCCCATGTACCGGGTGGCGTACGTCAACACGGTGACGCTGGGCTGGGACACCTACCTCTCCTACCTCAAGCACAGGGTGAGCACCACCCCGGCTGCCCCACACGGACGGAGCGTGGCACAGCTTGCAGCACACGAGCCCCCTTTCTGGTGTTTTGCAGCCCAACCAAACCCCCAGTGCCGAGAAGCAGCGCAGCGCTGGGATGTGACGGGGCTGCTCCCAAGGACCCCAACATTTTTGGGAGCTCCTGCCCACCGCTGTGACCTCACTGCAGGGCCTGGCAGCGAGCACTGGAGAGACAGCCACAGCCTGCGCACATCCTGCTGATTAGCTCATCTGCTGATGGCAATTAGGGGGCTGGGGCTGTTGAATCCGCTTGTGAAGATGCTGCTTTCTGTATATCCCAGTGTGGGGAGCAGCGTTGGGCTTCAGTCCGTGTCCCCTGCTGCCACCCCCTCCCCACACACACGTTTCCAGGGGCCTTTTGCCTCTGGGTTTCAGCACTGTTGGTGGCTCTGGGAGTGGCTGCCACTGCATCCACGGTGCTGAGGTGACAAATCCCACCCTTGCCCCCCAGGCACCGAGCAGCACTCCTCCCAGCATGGGACCTTATTCTGTCCAGCCTCCAAAGCATCCCCTAATGCCCCAGTCGTGCCTCCCAGCCCCCTCAAGAGCGCAGCTCCTTCCTGCTAAAATCGCCCGCTGGCACCTGGAAGAACTGAGAGCCCCTCCTGATCAGCATTGATTTATTTCTTCACAACATTTCTTTAATACAGTGATTTTTAGGAAATTGTACTCTTTTTTTTTTTTTGACACTTTTGACATTTGTACAGTACAGTGTAACTCTTCCATAAGTAAACTTCACAAAAAATAGGAAAAAGGGGGAAAGGGAGGAACAGGGGACCGCAGGGAGAGGGAGGGGGAGGGAGAAACCTGTAAAATAAAGACACAGCGCTCCAGGAGAAATAAATAGGGGGATGCAAGACCTCCGGGGCAGTCATTGCTATAGCAATATCCACGTATTCACAGTCTCACAGAAGCACGTCGCTATACGGGCACAAGGAGCTGCGCCGGGCGGCCACAGCCCCGTGTTTGGTTCTTCACCTTTAAATAAGAGCTTTGAAAAGTGATATTTCACAAGCAGAGAAACCACACCGAGGGGGGGGGGGGAGGGGGAGATCGAGGGACGCATCAGCACGGCCACGGCACAGCAGGTCACGCACACAGCGTCACACCTACGGCTATTTACAAGGAGTCTGTCGTTCTGTACAAGGAGGAAGACGGCGGGAGCAGCGATCAGCATCTATTTGTACAAATTAACAAGAGGTGGGGAACGGCCCCCGGAGCCCCCCCCCCCGCCGGGACCCTCTGGAGGGGGGGGGGGGGGGTGGGGGGTCCCGTCCCCCTCCCCATCACCCCAGGGACAGCGAGCAAAACGGCCACAATCCGGACTTTTTGGAGGAATTTGGGCTCGTCGAGCGATTAATTAAAAGCAGAAGGGGGCGATTCTCTTTCTCTTCCTACCATCCCAGGCTTAAAAATAAATAAGGTGGGGGGGGGGGGGGGGGGGTGGGAACCAACAGACGGGGGTTTACAAGGAGGATGTGGTTA